GGAGGCTGCGGGCGGTGGGAGGCGCGGCCTGCGGCGCCGTGCTGCCACGCAGAGCTACCCGCGGAACGGTCGCTGTGTGAGCTGCAGAGGGTTCATCCCGTGTAACGTGCTTTTAAGGGCTACTCATGTGAGAGATGAAACAAAGGTCATAAAATCGTGCAGTCATAGAATCACAGAATCAGAATCACAGAATCGTTAAGGCTGGAAAAGACCTCTGAGATCACGTCCAGCCGTCACCCCAACTCTACCATGCCTGCCAAACCATGTCCCCAAGTGCCACATCCACACGTCGTTTGAACCCCTCCAGGGATGGGGACTCCACCACCTCCCTGGGCAGCCTGTCCCAATGCCTGACCACTCTGTCAGTAAAGAAATTTTTCCTCCCCTGGCGCAACTTGAGGCCATTGCCTCTCGTCCTGTCGCTAGTTAACTGGGAGGAGAGACCCACCCCTGCCTCACCTTTCAGGGAGCTGCAGAGAGCAATGAGGTCTCCCCTCAGCCTCCTCTTCTCCAGACTTAACAGCCCCAGCTCCCTCAGTTGCTCCTCCTAAGACTTGTTCTCCAGAGCCCTCACCAGCCTCACTGCCCTTCTCTGGGCATGCTCCCACACCTCAATGTTCTTCTTGTAGTGAGGGGCCCAAAGCTGAACACAGCACTCCAGGTGCGGCCTCACCAGTGCCGAGTACAGGGGCACGATCCCCTCCCTACTCCTGTGGGCCACACTACTCCTGTGATGCCAGGTATTTTTTATATATTTACGGGTATCACCTGATACAATCCAGGATGCTGTTGGCCTTCTTGGCCATCTGGGCACACTGCCGGCTCATGTTCACAATCATTTTTCACCATCTGTAATTGTTGTCTTGTAGAGGTCGTGTAGATCACCAGGATGAGAATTAAATTTGTTTTACCAGGACTTCAGAATATGAACCCTGTGATCTTACGCAGACTTCCACAGGCTGGATAACAGGTCTGGCCACTGGCTTAGTAAGCTGAAAGGACAACTGCCGTCTCCAGCTGCAGTCTTTTGAAAATAGACGGAGCCATCCTCAGCAAGAGAGGTTTTTGATACAAAACTCCAGGGGAAGTCAGTTCAAGGCTGAATTTTAAGCAGCTAGAAGTTCCTTACTGCAACTCAGTGTAATTTAGGTTCTGGAAGTATTTTCTTCCTGGCTACCTTATGTTGCATCTGCAGAATATATTTTTAAGTAGGTACGGGTTTGCTCTTCAGAGTCTGTGCTGATTTATACGTCTGCGACTAGATTTACTATGTGGATCCAAATTTAACCCAAGCGGTGCTCCTTTCTGGAATGTGGTCATTTTGCAGATGGAGTGAATTAAAAATCTGAGCAGGAGGGACCTGAGCCTAATACTAACATTGAAGGAGGAGAAAATTACGTCCTCTGGGCATGGCACAGTCCACATGTTCCTATCTGAACCAGTAGTGCCAGGATCATCACTATTCTGCTTTGACCCATGTCATCACACCCGCAGCTCTGCCAAGAATTAGGACCTGGAAACCCTGGTCAGGTAAAACCCTAAATGAAGAACTCACCTCTGTGTTGATGTTGGGTCCCGGCTGACTTGGCAAGTCTTCACGAAATTGCATTAGTGTGGCACGAGGCCCAAACTGATAAACTGTCCTGGGAAGGTACGTTAGATCCCACTGAGCAGAATATCTTGGCCACATCAGCTGGCTGTTGTCAGCGTGATGCACAAGGAAGACTTTGTTGTGTTTGTAGATAAATGATGGTCTTGAATCCGTGTAAACAGATGTCGTGGCATTATGTATAGGAATTCAGCAATGACAGATTTCGTTAGGTGGCAAAATATCATGTGCTTGATCATTGCTTTGTCTCAATATCTTGTAAAAGATGTTGTTTAGAGTTAGCAAAGAAGTATGCTTCTCTGGAAAATTTGAAACATGTTTTATGAGCTTCTTTCTTTTTGTCTTTTTTTTTCTTCAAGCAGCGATTGTGGAAAGTCACAAAAAAGAAGACTCAGAAGGCAATAATGATAATTTCTTTGTGACAGGTCCAGACAATAGTTTAAATCACTAACTCCTGCTAATACTTTTTCTCTGAAGTTTGGCATTTTTTAGATATCATATGAATTCCCCGTGGCACATGTCTCATTCCTGTCCAATAGATTCATTCCTAATTGCTTGACTTATCAGGCAATCGTTACTAACAATAGGATTTTCTGAAGTGGTTATTGAGTTGTTGTCAAAATGTCTCAAATTCTCTACACATGATCTTTCGGGAAGGTTTGTAGGGAATCATGTTTGGGGTTAGCAAAGCCTTTATAGAGCTGAAGAAGTCCATAATAGAGACTCTGAATTTATCTCTGAAGATGAATGTTTTTAATGGGGTGCCAATGTCAGTATTTTATCTCCCAAAGTAAATTCTTCATTAAAGCCAAATTGTTAATCTTTGCTCCCACTTACCATTAAATAACTTGTGTTGATTAACAATGTAACACAAAAGTTATTGTAGATTTCAGTTGTATCATTTCAGGTAGATGGTGATAATTTGTACAAAAGAGATCATAATCCCACATAGAAAAGATCACAAAACAAAGGATGCTAGGGTTGTGGTACAGAGCTGAGATAAGGCAGACAGGTTTCATTTCCAGGAAGCAGAATCTCTGGAAAGATGCTTTTTTGATGTCTTAGGTTGGACATGAAAGAAACCACCACTGATATCATTTATGAACAGCTGCACTATTAAGCTAAAAGTTTTGAACTAGAAAACTGGAGCTTTTATTGCTTACAGCCACAAACCAGAAAACCCTTCAGAGCCATCTTTTGATTTTTAACAGATTATGATTCTCCCTGTTAGATCAAATTTGTCTGTCAGATGGTAAGGGACTCCATTTAAAATCGAGTATCAGATACCAGTTTTTTTCAAATGTGTCTAACTTATGTAAGAAAAAAGTCTGTATGTGTGCAAGTGATGGATGCAAAGGTATCTGCAGAAATGATAAATTTTCCACTAATTAAGACACGCAATTCTGAGATTTGGACTTTGGAAGAGACGAGTTACCCACATCTGAACTGATGTAAATGGTGTAGATACAGATGTCTCAAGATATAGCACAAAGAGAACAGGCGACTTGATTTATAGAACATGTTAATGTTAACAGGGGTTAGAAACTGCTGGTGCAAATCATATCTCCATAGGATATCACTGAATTTCATGGAATCTGTGTGGGAATTTAAAATATGCCTTTGAGTTTAAGACAATGAGAATAACATATCTGTGCTTGGAAGAAACAAACTAGGCTATCATAATTGCAATTTTTAAGGTTTTTGTTTAATATTGGTTCCAAATAATGTCTCCCTTGTGTCACGTGGGGGTATTGTCTCAGTTATAACATCATGAACACTTTGTGTAGCATGTGGAGTACAGCTGGGCTCAAACCACATTTGTGAATTTTTTTAGGAATTTTGTCATTTACCCCATATTTTACAACTGAAGCTATTTGTGTATCAATTGCAAATGCAGACGTACGTGTACCTGCACGTGTTCCAAATCAAAACCAGTGCAGACCTGCAGCTGGGATGAGAAAGCAGAGATGGGTTGAATTGCATTTTATAGAAAGCCTTGTAGATTTTGCATGGTTCTTGTGGATTTCCTGGAACTTACAACTGCTCAGGTGTTTCTGAGAAGCAGTTTAATATCTCAAAGTGTTAGGCCATCAGCATTTCCCTTATTAGTTCGTTAAATGGAAGCCAATATTCTAGAGTTGGCATAACCTGGATCACACCAGGGTAAGGAACTGAAAGCATTTTAATTTTTCTAATGAATGGTCTTCCATATTATACACATAGAAGACCAAAGCCTCATCTCACTCTTTTAGACCTCTCTGCAGAGTTCAGTGTGGCTGATCGTGAAATCCTGGTGTGTCGTATGAGCTGGATGGCAGGAGTCCAGGTTACTGTACTAGTCTGGAACCTCCCTGAAGAGATGCACGCAGCAGATAGTGATGCTCAGCTGCATGCCTGCCCCTCTTGATCCTAACCGGATCCTAAAATCAATTTCCTTGTGTCCTTTTCTACCAATGGAGTGCAACCACATTGGCAGCTGGACTCAGAGGCTAGCAATTTGCAGATAATACCCGGCCATGTGTATTCGTTACAATATATGACTACATCATCAACTCTGCAACTACCAAGGAGATCAGTTAATCGTGTGGGATTAGCTTAAACTGAGGTGAGCTATATAGGTGTGACTACAGGTAAACTATGTGACATTTATGGGCAAAAAATCTTCAGTGTTTAGGAAAGACCAACTGGTATAAAATGCTGTAGTTCTTCCCTGTAATAACAGGGTTTATGCACTGGTTTGCCACAGAAATTTAAGCTAAGGTCAGTATTTTGGTCCTCGTCTCCAAAATACATCATCACTAGGGCCCAGCTTATCTAAAAAACTGCTTAAATCTCTCTGAATTGAAGAAGACAGCTGGAATCATGAATCACAGAATGGTTGAGGTTGCAAGGCACCTCTGGAGATTGCCTAGCCCAACTCCCCTGCTCAAGCAGGGTCAGCTAGAGCAGGTTGCTCAGGACCCTGCCCACTCGGGTTTTGAGTGGCTCCAAGGACGGAGACTCCACAGAAGACAGTCTTCTTTACTCCCTCCCATTGGGTACTGATACACTTTGAACCTTCTCCTCTCCAAGCTGAACAGTCCTGGCTTTCTCAGTTTCTCCTTGTGTGTCAGGTGCTCCAATCCCTTTATTATCTTTGTGGCCATTTGCTGAACTCCAGTACACCCATGTCCCTGTACTGGGGAGCCCAGAGCTGAACACAGTACTCCACATGTGTCTCATCAGTGCCGAGTAGAGGGAAGGATCACTTTGCTTTTGTTTGTCACAGTTGTCACAGTGGGATTTTCTGTTATAATTGTATAACTCTTTTTGCAAAGAAAACTTTGCCATTTCCGAGATAAATATATAGCCATTTTATATTTAATGCCTACACACTGTAAACAAAAAATCCTCTAGGAAAACAAGGTGCTATACACATTTTTAGCCTCACAGAGGCAATGAAAGAACAAATAATATGTAGTATAAGAGCAGTGCACAGTTTGTACTGTACTGCTGGCAAGCAGGAGGGTACCATGAGGATAACTGTGGGGTAAAAGCATACATGGCACACAGCTGAACAGTTTTGTTTCTATTTTGTTATATTTTATCAATACAGAGCAAGTTGTTTCTGACATTTGTAATCTAAACTTACAAAATACTTTTGGGGTACTCAGAAACTGCTTTTCTGAATTAGATGAAATAATAAACATTTTCTGTTGTATTTTAGGAGGCTGTTTACTGTTCTACCATCCCTAGTAAGTGTTGCTAAATAGCCTGTTTTACACATGACAGTAACATGCAGTCACTTTTCTTAAGACAGCATTTACATTCACAATATTCTTTCTTTAAATACGAAGATCCATTTTTAATAATTTCCTGTTTTTATAAAACTTAGTGAAGGTTTTTCAAAATACTGCAAATGCTACAAATAGAATGAAGTGATTAATGAACAGACCAATCAAACTATAGATGTAGCAGCTAGCTTATAACTTATGGACTGACAGGTTCATAATCTTTAAAATAATAATTTTCTCAGGCATAAAAGGCTTTCCTTTTATGGTGCCCTCATTAATTTAAAGAATCCTAGTGAATACATTACTGTCTTCTTTTCAGGAGTGTGTCTTTTATATTGCCTTACAATTTACATATCTTCATTTAAAATAGGTCTGTTCAAATGCTATAATGTAACAATTAAACTCAAAGAAAATATGAAATCTGAGACAGTAAGTGAAATACATA